GGACTACCCCTAACATTTAGGGGGATGAAAAATAGATGTTGGCCGATTCTCATAGATACCGGATAAGCACACAAAATGTCATCAAAATCGGTCAAGCCGTTTCGGAGGAGTATGGCAACGAAAACTGTGACACGAGAATTTTATATATTAGATTAGTTTGCTTTATTAGCGACTGACGTCACACGTAATGCACATTTAGCCAAATATTGGAACATCAATGCGGTGCGCTATCCAACTTAATTGGAATCACTCGATTGAACTATTTTACAATATAAAATAATATCAGCCAATTTTTATTTCTATTTTTTATTTATTGCTTCGATGGGTGAACGAGCTTAAGGCCCACCTGGTGTTAAGTGGTTACCGGAGCCCATACACATCTACAATGTAAATGCCACCACCCACCTTGAGACATGATTTCTTAGTCTCCGTTTTTACAGTACAGTGGCTGCCCCACCCTTCAAACCGAAACGCATTACTGCTTCACGGCAGAAATAGGCAGGGTGGTGGTACCTTTTTCTTTTTATTGCCCTTGTAGGCAGACGAGCGCACGGCCCACCTGATGGTGAGTGGTTACCGTCGCCCATGGACTTCAGCAATGCCAGGGGCAGAGCCAAGCCGCTGCCTACCGCTACCCGTGGGGACTCACAAGACGTCCTACCATCAGTAAAAAACTTTCGTATTTGCAGCAATAAGCGACCCAGTATCGCTTAGAGCGGACTGCTAGTGAAATGAATTGTGTCACAGAATAAAAGCAACGAAGTACCTACCTACCTCGTGACCGATGACGTCAATAGAAGCTGAATAGTTAAAATGTGTGTTAAATTGCAAATAAATCAACTGTCATTTTCATTTCGTGGTGCAATGCTCGCGCTAGCTACATTAAGGATGTGATTTTTGTTTGACGTTTAAATGTCACATGTCACAACTTAATTTCAAAGTAACAATTAAAAGGGCAAAGGTTTGGTTATTTAGATGTGTTTGATTGTTATGAGTTATATTAAGTGCGTTGCGATTTGAATAGCATGCATGATTGCATTTAAATTGAGATATAAACTATTTTGAGGTTAGAGGCGGCATTGAGACTCTTGCGTTTAAAGGTGTCAGTAATCGTTTACAATCAAGTGGAGTTTGACCTAATATACCCTTATACGGCAAATTATGTAAGTTTGTAAGCATCTGCAAAGTAGAAAGTACAGTAAAATTCATAAAGGAAAATAAGGAAATGATGTGTGGAATAACAAATATATAACAATACTCTTCTACCCACCAATGTAAAGCTCACCCTCTTTAAGAACGGTTAGCTGGTAGATAACTCAATTGTTGAGTTAAGCTCGCCATTTTATAACATTTCGCAATTATTATATTGTATATATTAATACGTGAAGCAAAAACTTTGTATTCCTTTTTACGAAAATTGCGCGGACGAAGGAGTATGAAATTTTCCACACTTATAGAGAATATAGAGAAGAAGTGCACAATTCTAATATTTTTTTTAAATAATGCATAAAAGATACATTAAATCAATACAGAAAACATTACACACACTACATACCATGTATTTGACGGACACAGGCATGCATACTATTTATTGTCAAACTTTTGTTCTTGACGTCTGTTGTCAAATTGAGAATAGATTAAATATTGTTTGTCTTTGTTAATATTTTTTTTTATTTTTTTTATTTATTGAAAGCATTGGCAACACGGCCATCAGCTTAAACTAATTTTACAAAAAAATAGAACATGAACTAGAACTTACAATAAAAACACAAATAAAAGAAACAAACCAAACCAAGAAACAATTACAAATCATTGAAAACAACAAATTCATGACAAAATGAATTGCAAGAACTTACTATAAAAAAATACAAGTTTTCTTTCAACAAACAACAAAAAAGAACATGAGTCGTTATAAAAAAATAATTAATTAAACTTGCACATAAGCAGGAGACCTATGATACATTCATGAATTATACATTCATAGTCGTTCTATAGTGTATAGTATAGTCTAAGTACAAAATTATACACTATTGAGAATAGTTGTGGAAGCTTTAAAATACCTTGAATGGAATTAGGAATAGATTTTAAGCCTGTGTCTTTACATAATGCATTAAACAATAATCTCTGTTGATTGAATTCAGGACAATTAAAAAAAAAATGATCTAGATCACACATGCCAGAGTTACAATAAGTACATGCAGCTGATTCACTTAACTTTAATCTAAAAAGATGCGCAGGAAAATGGCCGTGGCTTATACGTAATCTACAAATAATCGATATAAAGGCTCTTCCCGGGAAGAATCTAAAATTATCAAACCAAGATTTAGTACTAGGTACTGGGACTATTTCAGCTAACCATTTACCTTTCGTTTCTCTGGACTTAGACAAGTAATTAGACCAACGTTTCATCATATTTTGTTTAATTGAATAAACTAAATCTGAGTACGGAACTTTAAAATCGGAAATATTTATATCTTTTGTAGATTTCGCTAATTTATCAACAAATTCATTACCCACAATACCAGAGTGACCTGGCACCCAGCAAAATTCAATAAATATATTTCTGAAATACAAAAAACTCAAACAACTTCTTAACTTATAAATTAAATAATTTACAGATGCACTAATACATTTATTTTTAAGAGCTTGCAAGGCGCTCATTGAATCAGATAGAATTAAAATTTTGTCCCCTGCAGAGTAATTTACTCGAATGTGCTCTAAAGCATATATAATGCCTAGTACTTCAGCCGAAAAAACAGAGAAAAAATTGCTACATTTATAAACTGATCCTATGTTCATGGACGAATCAAAAAATGCAAAACTAGTTCTATCTTTAGTTTTAGAGCCATCTGTATACACTTTAACAAAATCAGTCTTATCTTCAAGGAACTCCAGAAAATCATTTTTAGATTTAAACTTGATTAGATCAACAGCCACATCTCTCAACATGTCATGAAAGTTATATTCGAAACAAGGCAATAGGGTAGACCAAAATACCACATCCTGAAATTCAAAATTCAAATACGTTATGGCATCTTTGTTAATATTCTTTATAGTGTAGTCTTGGCGAAATTTGTGATTATAGAAGTATGAAATACAATCATAATAGTGTACAAACTTACAATTTCAATTAATTATAGTCGAATTTCGACTACTGCGGTACCTCTAGTTGTATTAACTGTGTGTACAATAAAGAATAAAGAAATGATTTAACATATATTATGTTAAGTCGTCTAGATGTTTATATTTGTCTCTTTCAGGTGTTGTTTTAGATTCATCATTTTTAAAAACGCAACAATATACACCATCTTTAGCAATGAAAACACGAAATCAATTCAAAAATCTTGTTTTAGTCTTCATAATATGATATTTCATTTCAATTAAGCTATAATGAGATATTTTCTTTCCTACCCAAGCTGATGATCTAGAGAGACCATGTCAGCGTCGCCGGGCTAGTAGGTGAGCTCACGGGGCTCAAACATGACGATGTTGCTAACACGAACCCTAGCAAAAGCCGTGCTTCGCAGAAATTAATGAAAGCCACATGGAATTGTTATAACCATCTTAGCAAACAGAATTTCAACAAAATAATGAGATAACTTTTCCATTTCTATAGACCTATGTCGCGGACAACTGTCCGAATAGATTACATAAATGGAATGGTATCGGACAAAGGTCTGAAGCACGAATATAATTTAATGTCCAAGTGCTTCGAGCTATGGACGTGGGTTACTATCTACTCAGAATAGGCCGTATTTTGAGGATAAATGGATTGGCATTACTGTCTGGCCCATCTCTGCCGCGATGCTCTCTCAGTTGGCCGTTTCGGTTAGGAGATAGAGACAGTTAAACAATAAAAGTGAGACTTCGGAGGACTCTGGTATTGAAGCCAGGTAGGCTGTGCTGAATCCCTCAAATACTACAAATGTAACAAGAAAAATATTACTGTAGTATTATCCGGATATAATTATGAAAAATTAATATTCAGTCACAATCAATTATAAAATTTCTCCAGCAACTACATGTAGTTTTAAGTTAACTGAATTGAAGGACTTTTTGGCGGGAACGCGTGGAGCGAAGTGGTGTGAATTTTTTTATTTTGTTAATTTAGTATGTATTCAAGTTTAGTTTTGTAATAATGGTGGCTTATTCACTGTTTAGTTGCTGTGAAAGTGCACAAATGTGGTAAAATTAAACCAAGTCACCCTACATAACTTTTCGGGATCTTCGAAAAAGTCCACTGAAAAAGTCTCAGTAAATAACTACCATTTTACTAAAACTCTAATTTATCCTATAAGATCTCGTTTCATTTAATTTCATTTAATAATGAAATTAATTTCAGTAATTTATTAATGTCCCAAAGTAATTAAGTTTATTTCATGTCGCTCTATATTATTTTTCATGAAATAGAATATATAACAGATTAGGCTGTAGGTAGGGCTGTCATTTTCCTTCGCCTTTCCAGTTGGAAAAGTGGAGCTACTACTAAACAATTTTTAAATTAAATTTTTTATATTTTATTTTGTCACACAAATATAATTTTCATCTGCTATTAATGGAAGGTCTGCCAGAAACGTGTTTGTAGACAAGTCGAAAGCTATTATCAAATTTAATAAACTAGATGGTTTTTTTTGACAACGCCATCTTGTTGTGTCTTTAAAGCGGTTAGTTGCCCTCAATTAAGAAAAATAGTATTATTATTCGCCAATAGATGTCGGGAAGAGTTGATTATTGAAAACACGAATAAAACAACATTTTCTGAAAATAAATCGTAGCTATATCGATTTATCGCCCCCGAAATCGCCTGATACAAAATTTTATGAAAATCGTTGGAGCCGTTTCCGAGATTCAGATTATATATATATTAATATAAAAGAATTGCTCGTTTAAAGGTATAAGATAAGATATGCTCTCCAAAATTGAGCTGTTTCTAGAAATAAACCATTGACTAAACTAAGGAACATTCCGAAAATGTAATTGATACTTAAATTGTAACTTACGTAATCACTATTGTCGAACTCCAATCTCAGAACCGCATTATAGTATGTTCCCTCCATGCTCTCTTTCATGATGGAAACTTTCAACTTCAATGAGAAGATGTCCTCGGCTATCTCGTAGAGCTGGCCTGTCAAGACAACAAGAAGAATCTTGATAATTGGCTTGGAGGTTTACAATTTTTTTATTTTTTTCTTAATTGGGTGGACGGGTTCACAGCCCACCTGGTGTTAAGTGGTTATTGGAGCCCATAGACTACAACGGAAATGCGCCACCCACCTTGCGATATAAGGTCTCAAGTATAGTTACAACGGCTTTCAAACCGAAACGCATTACTGCTTCACGGCAGAAATAGGCGGGGTGGTGGTACCTACCCGTGCGGACTCACAAGATGTCCACCAGTAAAAGTAAGTTTAAGTTTTTGTAAATATTTTAAAAATCTACTTATATATAGCCACTACAAGCAAAGGATGATACGGTGTATCTGGCCACTATCACATAAAGACTTCAACAAAGTTAGGGACGTACCATCTAGCCGCTTATGCATTTATACTCGGATATCAACCCAAAATCAACTTGTCTGTCCATCTAGAATTAGAAAAAATACGCACACACACACACCAAGTTTCTTCTCGTTATTTTCTGTCAACACCACTCACCCATCAGGTAATGCGTAAAGCCGGTCCTTCCACTGCTGTATACGAGTTCAGCTCCGTGCCTGTGAGCCCTCGTGAGCTGCATGCTCGGAGACCGCATCCTCGGAAAAGTGTACCGCATACGCTGATGGATGTTGTCCACGGACTGCAGGAATGTGCAGAAGTATCGACCGGTCGCACGTATCATAGTGTCGTAGCTGTAATACATTTCAGTCGAAAAAAAGTTTTGAAAGCACCAAAAATTACCAATTTTAATTAATCTAAAAAAAAAGTGGATTGTTATTGGTTGGATTGATAATCGGTGACACAAAGCCGCAAAGTCTCTCCTGCTTAAGCTGCATGGGGAAGGACCGGCAAATAAATAAATAAATCCTTATTTGAGTCGGGATAATATGGCGTAGCTTAGTGTAGGCATCGGAAAACATTTCGTTTTAATGGTAATGTTTCAATTTTGGTCTCTTAGCCAAAGGAATAAACACTACGTATTATTAGATCAAATGGAAGATTAGAATCCACTATGTATGTGATATGATAATAGTATGTATTTTTTTTTTCCTACTTAAGCTGGTAGCATTGATAGGCTATTCTAGCGTAACCTTAACTAGTAGGTGAGCTCTCGGGGCTCAAACTTGACGACGTTGCTAACACGAACCCCAGCAAGAGCCGTGCTTCGCAGAATCTACCACCGGATCTGAAACGCGACCCACTGAGAAGATCCGGCGAGAAACTCAGTGGGCTGTGTCTGAGGGTTAATTTGCTTGTCGAGCCCTTCGTCGCAAGCGACGAGTTCGACGAGAACATTGACCGGTTCTTGAAGTACCTAGAAGCACCGTTAGTGGATCGGGAGGGAATGTACTTGCTTGCCGTATAGTTAGTTCCCATAGAGTTAGTATACTTATTAACTCCATGTTAGTTCTAATTTGTGCGTCATAAATGTTGCCAATTTCACAAAAATAGAACTCACATAAAGACTAATTTAATATTAATTTAATAAAGAGTCAGTGAACGTCGTCACTTCGCTTTAATAAAAGACATTAAGAGAAGTATTCGCATGAAAATTAATCTTTGTAATTAAAAATACTTTTAATTAATTGTTATACCCATTCCGCGTATTGAACACACGACACATTTCGCTGTATCAGCCTGATTAGACAAAAAGTCCAATGTATATATTTTATGTCTCCTGAGAGTGTCGCTCATAATTTCTCAATTGACCAACAACATTTGTCTTTTTCCTATTTCATTTTAATTTTTTAATTTTCGTATTATTAATATTCTATAATTAAAATAATCTAATCAATACTCCGGTTCTATAATTTTCTTTTTGTTTTAAATCCTCGCTTCAATGAAAAGAAACGTAAAAGTAAAGATTTTTTTTAATAAAAAATAGACGGTAGTTACCACAACATTCAGACGTCGACTAACGACACCTTAATGATCCTTGACCTTGATCCTTGACAAAATCAAAGGATTTTTATCAGTTAGTGAACTTAAGGATTTATATCAACTAGTGGTCAAGCAGTAGTCGAAATTCGACTATAATTAGATAATTGGAATTATAAGTTTGAACATTATTATGGTTCTATTGTCAAAGACTATTATTATACTTCTATAATCACAGATTTCGCCAAGATTACAATAGTCAAATAAACAATAACAGCAACAAAAGTTAGACAATAAACAAGTAGTAGGTATTCATGCGTGTGTGTGTGTGTCAAATACATGGTAGTGTGTGTAATATTTTTATTTATTGATTTAATGTGTTTCTTGTGCATAATTTAAAAAAAAATATTAACAGTCTGCACTCCTTCTTCTCCTTATTCTTCCTTATTCTCTTTAAGTGTGGGAAATTTCATACTCCTGTGTCCGCGCAATTTTCGTAAAAAGGTGTACAAAGTTATTGCTTCACGTATTAATATATAGATATTTAATATTGTGTGTGTACATATGTATTTCTGTTATTGTTTCACATAATGCTAAAGCAAAATCACTTTTATATAAGTGAGTGATATACCAGCTGATGTCACCACCAATTAAAACTTTCGGTCAATGGAACGTAATGCAAAGCGTGCTTTTATTTCTTGATATCGCAAACGTTAGCGACCTATTTGTGTTAACGGGCCTGTCAAATAGATTTTCATTGTTCTACAACGGATTTTTAAACGAAGAATATTCGTTGAATTGTTTCATTACTTTTCTATCTAGCTTTAGGATTGAGTAGAGTATGCCACCAATATAAAATCGAAACAGATGCAGAACATTAAACACAAAAAATACAATTGGCGACCTTGTTGATCGATCTACATATTTTGGGCAAAACAAGGATCATTTAAGGAAAGTAATTAGCCCCGGTGTACTTACTAATCGAAATAAAATAATTTAGATAAATACCAAAAATATAATGCATGATATCACTTATCTATATACATAAAAATGAATTGCTGTTCGTTAGTCTTCCTAAAACTCGAGAACAGCTGGACCGATTTGGCTAGTTTTGGTCTTGAATTATTTGTGGAAGTCCAGAGAAGGTTTAAAAGGTAGTTAATATGAAAATGCTCGGAATTAAATAAAAATAACAATTTTGTTTTTCCTTTGATGTGTAACCCCCCCCCCCCCCCCGACCGATTCCTTTTGTTTGTTTTTAAGTTTATTTTATACAAAAGTTTAGGTATTTTATTTACTACAAAGTCTGCCGGGTCAGCTACTTTTCATTTAAAAGTTAATCAACAACGTAGACATAAATATCATGATTTACACAATTTATGGTTCTTGTTGGGCTTTTCTCGTGATATAGATGACGTAGTCCATCTAGTGTTGCGTGTATTATATGTAAGCTGTCCCATCTTTAAAACCAGAAGGCATGATACCTTGCGGCGGAAATCCACAAAGAAAAGCGACCGTGCGGACTCCCATATCGCTAGGAGTTATGCATTTTTGTATTGTTTTATCGGTTTCATTTTACTACACCATGTTATTCTTTCATCTTATTTCTTTAATTACATTATAAGTTGTATTACGAAGACTTGGGAGACCGTCCTCTTAGGTGGTGTGATAATCATCAAGAGGCGGTCGGTCAGAAATGAACGAGGAAAACCGAAGACCGGTCTCTGAGGTGTAAATTGGGAGAGGCCTATGGTCCGCAGGTGAACCATTGATTTCATCATATATAGAGCGATATATCATCATCACCAGCCCAAAGGCGGATTTGGGCTGGTGATGATGATATATCGCTCTATATACCGTACGTCTTATTCTTTTATTCTGACTAGTGGTCCCCCGGTAGTCGAAATTCGACTATAATTAATTGAAATTATAAGTTTGTACGCGTGCACTATTATGGTTCTATTGTCAAAGACTATTTATTATACTTCTATAATCACAGATTTCGCCAAGACTGCACTTAAACAAATATTAGTAAAGACAAACAATATTCATTTCATCTATTCTCAATTTAACTACAGCAATAAGAAAAGTTTGACAATAAACAAATAGTATTCATGCGTGTGTGCGTGTCAAATACATAGTAGTGTGTGTAATGTTTTTATTTATTGATTTAATGTATTTCTTGTGCATAATTAAAAAAAAAATTAACATTCTGCACTCCTCCTCTATATTCTCTATAAGTGTGGGAAATTTCATATTCCTTCGTCCGCGCAATTTTCGTAAAAAGGGGTGTAAAGTTTTTGCTTCACGTATTAATATATAGGTACCAAATCAAAGTATCTTTTGCTGAAAACATCTTCATTTTTTTTCGAGATAAATAGATCGATACTTAGATTAAACAGAGCAGATGGACTGTCTCGTAATTGTTCAATCAATTGTTTCATTTAAAATTGAACAGCTGCGTATTAACATGAATTCAGTTTCCCTACATTTTGGTCCAATTGTATTAAGTCACATAGATTCTTAAAAGAGGATGATGGGGTAACTTTTTTGGGTATTTCAGTTAGCGACTTTTATCGCAGAGACAGATAGCATTTTTTTTATTTTTTATTCCTTAGATGTGTGGACGAGCTCACAGCCCACCTGGTGTTAAGTGGTTACTGGAGCCCATAGACATCTACGACGTAAATGCGCCACCCACCTTGAGATATAAGTTCTAAGGTCTCAAGTATAGTTACAACGGCTGCCCCACCCTTCAAACCGAAACGCATTACTGCTTCACGGCAGAAATAGGCAGGGCGGTGGTACCTACCCGCGCGGACTCACAAGAGGTCCTACCACCAGTGAAGCATTAGCATTTTGTAAAGGAAAATTTTGCGTAATATCTACTAACCAATTAGAAAACAGTTTCCTCAATGTGACCTAAATAAATCTCTACGAAAGGGAACAGTGAGACGTATATCTTCTAGGTAATAGAGGACGAATTAAGTTAACCGATTTTCCAAACTTTAATTAAAACTCAGAGCAAGATAACTTTCTACTGGAATGCTTACAGTTAGCTTTGGTTAAATTTACACAAAATTCGTGGTATTTTGTTTAAAAAAGTTTAAATCAATACTGATGTTATCACGAAGGAGATTTTGTATGAACTTTGAGTAAATAATCCTCAGAAGGATAAAATAATTTACACTTTTCATCAGCTGAGCCATGTTTTCTTTTTTAAATTTATAAATGTTATTAGTGGGTATGAAATTGGACGGCAATGTGAGGTGGAGGCGTCCTAGACTTGGATGAACTGTGTGAAAGAGTATACGCGGGAGGAGGATGTGAGTGCAGAGATGACGTATGATAAGACCTGAATGGAAAAATAGGACATGTTGCCCTCAACATATTGGCATAAGAACAGAAAGAAGAAAAAGAAGTATAGTTATTAGTGGATCCCGACCACGGTTCAATGCTACCATAAATTAAACCAAATGCTATTACAACAATTAAATTGAGATATAATACACCCTTTCATTATACAATGTCAGAAATTTCTCTGAAGTGCCCACAACAAACTGCATTAAGTTTTAATTCAGTCGGAAAAATCTGTGATTGAAAATAATATGAGTCAACCAGATTTATATTTTTGCGTCAAAGAAGATATTTAAGAATAGGCATTCTGTAAATATTCGAAAACTTAACTCGATTTTATTAGCTTGACCTAAATCTGTCTGTGTACTGAAATCTTTTAACGTAAATATTTGAAAATTATAGACGATTTATTAACACGATAGCTTACATAGTTATTAAAGACCGATAACAGTACATAAAATTTAATTAATTTGGCCTAATGTCTTGACTAGAATCGCTACGTTAAAAATGGTTATTAAATTTAAGTTCAACTCTAAATTTAAGTCCATTATTTCAGTTTTAAATAAATGAAGAAATGTTCTCCATTAAGAAGTTCGACTATTATTACTGTTGAAAATCGCAGAGTCCAGTAATCCAGATCTCAGTAATCCCAGATCTCATTACACGGTCAGTGCCTTCTCAGATAGAAATCCTTTCAATACAATACCATTCGTACCCAATGCGGAGCTTGTCCGACTAATTGTAACAACAGCTAACCTTGAACCTGTACATTTTTAAGATTCTTTAAATCTGTGGTTTATTTGCGAATTCATTAGCGTATACTTTACGATTTGGATTAATTTAATGACAAACGTCAGGTTTATTGTTACAAACATAGAACAGAGGTGTGAGGTATTTAAAGTTTAAATGAATTACATGTTTTAGTCAGTGACAGCATTCACTTTGTTTTGTCTATGGTCCTTTCTGTAATTGTACAACATATAGCACGTTGGTCCTTATTAACTCAGAAAACAACGAAATCAAATTTCTGTACATATTTTGCGAGATTATAATATAATATTACGAAAGATTGATACAAAGGTTTTGAAGTGGGTTAGTTATTTGGTATAGCCAAACACTAAGCGTATTCTATCTAAATTCGCGAATTCTCCTACGAGACATGAACCTACAAGAGGCCAGAAAATACTAGTCGAATATCATTTATTGCTTTTTGACTCGATAAATTTGGGTGACTTATTATTTTTGGACTCGATAAATTTGGGTGACTTATTGCTTTTTGACTCGATAAATTAGGGTGACAGATCCGTTGTTAATAAATACTGTTTAATTTCAGATATAGCTTTGTAAGCTGAACTTGAAGATTTCGAATACCCAATTCGAATTGTCAATGAATATGATGGGTTCATAATGTTAATTCCGTAGCAATAGTGTCATGTAGTTCATCTTACCCGTAATTGCTGAAGAATTTCACAAAGCACCTGCCGAAGAAGTGCATCACCTTTTCCGGTGTGGCGAATTTCTCTTTCATGGCGTTTAGTTTCTCGCACGAAATGAGGCTGATGCTGTTCAGTCTTTGCCTTCCTGGAGCTCCTGACCCTCGCCGCCGGTATACATCCAATGCTACGGTACAACTAGTCTTCCTTGTTGGCTTGGACATGGAGTTTTTCATATTCTCGTGCTCAGGGGATGTGGGTTCCGAGACGGCGTTCTGACTCTCCGCTTGCTCACATTCTGGAATAGATTCTTCAGGGGTTTCCTTACTCTTCTCTGCATGCACCGCTTCTAATTTGATCCCCAAACTGCGCCTCTGCAACTCCTTTCTGACTACTTCTATTCCCTTTTCCATATTTATGCGGTCAGTTGACATTGTCATTGGTCGAATCTCTTCAGTAGACGTGTAAGCGTTAATTTCTTTCTTAGTGACAGCTGTCAGTACGTTTGTGGCTGTGAAAGGACATTTGAAGGTCTGAGGTCTATTGTCTGCGTGGACTGACGCGCTTCTCCAGCTGGGCTTGGATTTGAAAGATGGTTTCTTTGGTACTGGACTCGCTGGCCGGGACGGTACAGGGCTGTTGGGGTCTTTTGAGAGGAGACGAGCTAAAGCGCTGGCTAGTCGGAGCATCAGGGCGTCTGGGTATTGCTGTACATTCAGATGTATGATTATTATATTTCCAATTCTTATGAAATACGTAAATATATATTTATTTTATTAATATTATATTAATATAATAAAATAATATTATATATATAATATTATTATATATAATATATAATATTATTATAAAAAATAATATTAATATATATTTACCTGTGTCGCACTGAAGACTGTGTTTCTGGCACCTGCCTCCCTTAGAATAGTTTCCCATATTTCTTCCCCGCATTCCTCCTGTAGATATTTGTTAAATTAGTGAATCGTTATGGTATTACTAAATTATTGCTATACCTAAGTCCGCGTAAATATGAAGAGTTTTTCTTAATACTATTACTGTAGTACTTTTAGTTCAAAATTGGTTGAGCTGATGTCATTAAGGCAATGTATACAATGATTCTGATCATTTCGAATTGAACTGGTAAATTACGTAAAATCATATAGCTATCCTGTCACGTAATCTAGTCAGTCTAGTCTTTCATTGGGTTTTGTTGCTATTGGTTTTTTTGATTTGTGGTAATTTTCGCAATAATGTTTTATTTGTGCATGTTATCCGAAGAAAAGATGATCATGTGGCCAAAAAGGCCTTGTGTATGAAAGTAGACGGTAAGTGACAAGGGATTTCGCACATTCCGTCCAAATGTTTTTAGGAAGCACTGTGTGAATGAGAATTTGCGAGAGAAGTGTGTGAGTGCGGAAATAGCGCCGACTACCAGTTGGTGGAGAAAGAGCAAGAAGAATAATATTTTATTTTGGATAGTTATATTGTTGAATTTTCGTGGTTTTTATGTTTTTGCGCTTATAGTTCTTATCTCTATCTTATAGATACTTATCTATCTGCATTATAAGTTTTATTTTGTTAATTATGTATTCAAACGCTAATATTTATATTGAGTAAACTTTTTTTATCAGGTATAAGTTCAAAATATACTTTGTTAAGCTATGTGCAAAAGCAAAGCGGTTTTGTCCGTCTTGAATTTACCAAGCGAAAGGTTTGTATTATTTTCGAGTGAAAAAACTAGTTTACATCAAATCCAGATAAACTTTGAGATCTTTCAATTACAAATGCGAACAGCAACATGTACCTACGTGTGTCGTAATGTACGTGTTACTAATATCGTTTGCCGATGACCTATATAATAATGAATGAAGGTATTTCGATATTTGGACGGGTGAATTTGCGAACGTGACCAGCCAAAAGTGTCGGCGCTTGTGAATTATTTATTGTTCAATTAATGTTTAGTTTGCAATCAACGTCGACGATGACAGTTAGAGGTCGCAACTAAAACAGGTATGGAGGTATTACAACGCGAAATTAACAAGTCAGTATGTTGTCTGAAATTATAAGTTTTGTTGTCTTTTCTTTTTGGCAAAGGTAGTAAGCGAATAGGCATGCATGAGCAAATGTTATTACTTTTGTTTTGAAGACGAACATTACGGCCTACCTAATGGTGAGTGTTTACAGTCGCCCATGGACGTCAGCAATGCCAGGGGCAGAGGCAAGCCGCTGCCTACCGTTAAGTACTCTCCACAAGCCTCGTTTGAAGCAGTACATGTCATAGCGCTCAGGAAACACTGTAGAGGGGAGCTCATTCCAAAGCCGGATGGTACGTGGCGAAAAAGATCTCTGGAAACGCACTGTGGATGAACGCAGTGGCTCCAGGTAGTGTGGATGAACTCTACTCCATCTGCTATAATTACCAAAGCCCATACATTTTTTTACTGCTTAGATGTGTGGACGAGCTCACAGCCCACCTGGTGTTCAGTGGTTACTGGAGCCTATAGACATCTACAACGTAAATGCGCCACCCACCTTGAGATATAAGTTCTAAGGTCTCAGTGTCGTTACAACGGTTTCCCCACCCTTTAAGCCGAAACACATCACTGCTTCACGGCAGAAATAGGCACGGTGGTAGTACCTACCCGTGCGGACTTACAAGAGGTCCTACTAGTATACCAGTAATAACGCAAATTATAATTTTGCGGGTTTGATTTTTATTACACGATGTTATTCCTTCACCGTGGAAGTTAATCGTGAACACTTGGTAAGGACGTATTTCATTAAAAAAATTGTTACTCGCCTCCGGGATTCGAACACCTGCATTCGATCTCACAATAAATTATTATAATATCTCTCAATTATAAATAAACGCTTCACCGAAGATACTGACTATGGTGCCTATCCAAGTTGTCTTAAAATATAGACCCTACGACCAACGAAAACACGAAAATTCATATGTAGCAAATAAACATCGTTCTATTGTTGACAGATATGTAAAGTACATTAGTATTCATCACGTTTGGATAAGTAACAAACACAATGCAGCGCGCCACGAGTAAGCACTTCTCTGGAAACAAACAACCTATCGGCTGCCAGCGGCGGTTATAAATGACAGTTTCCCCCTATTTTCGTAAAATTCTCGAGTTTTCCTTTTGTTCACAGCCGACGATACTTGAGATGGGCTATCCAGAAATGTTTTCAATAGAATTTGGTTATAGATACTGCTGTTTCTGTTGCTTCCTATGTAATGATGGATTTAGGCTTGAAGCTGCCATAGGCTCTATAAATATACGTAGACTGTGCAACGTAATCACCAATTGCTGCACGCATCATCTTCACCTTGTATCATTACGTCACATTATTTATTCCACACAATAGTTCTCTTTTATTATATAATTTCAGCTTTATGTTAATCTTTTTAATAAAAGAATATATACTCGTACTCCTTATTCGTATACTGAACTACATTGTTTCATTAAATTTCAAGAATTGGTATCGTTCATTGGGAGTCGTTGGTAGATCGTAGAGTACTTCGTCAGTAAACAGTAGATCTTGGTTCTAATCAAGTTGGCCACCAATTTTCAGTACATTTTGTTCCCTGTTTGTCATCCGATTTACTTTTAAAACTAATTTTACGGTTTTTAATAGTCTTTATAATACTTACGTCAGTTGACCGTAATCACGAAAACAGTTAGATATTCGTAACGTAGCTAATAACTACGCTAATAGATAATAATTAAAATAGTATGTATAATAAATATAACAGGTAATAATTAAAATACGATTAACTATTATTTTTAGAAGCCACTGATAAATTTTAGTGCCATTGACGACATGATTGTTTTTTTTTCTTCAGAATTCCAAATCATTTTGAATCGTGTATTTCGACAAGTTGATGAAAAAAAAACGACTCTACGAAAATGGAGTTTCAATTTCTGTGGAATATCTCCTCAAAAGATTTTTCTTTTGTGCGGTCCAGTCCAGTAATCCCTCTGGCAGTAATCCATTGAGGTTTATTACACGTTTTTTTTTTTTTTTTATGGCAAAAACAGCTTAATCTTCAATATTTAGGATTAGTGTCATGCATTGTCACGACTCTAGCGTAGCATAGCTCTGAGCGGCTTATAGTCTAGATAGGGATGAAAGTCTCATCTTACTATTCGAAAAGCTATACGATCTCAGTCTTCTCGATTTCAATTTATCATTTAGATGTAGTAGGTTTCTCAGGAATTTTTACCAAATACTAGTTCTGAAGTAGATTTGGTAGAATTGGCAGGGTTTGTTAGTTGCCGCAGTCATGCAAGCATTTGCTGCTAAGTAAATATGTGTACGGGTTTGATGGGGGACAGTGGCGGTGACAATGTCCGTAGCCTTTAGTAATCTCCTAAAATCGGGGGGGGGGGGGGCAGGATTATACGAGCTTCTCTGTCCGAATTCATTTTTCTTCTTATGGCGTTGTCCCTTATTACCTTCTCTTACAAGGTAAATTTTATTTTTAGTGAGTAATACCGGTCTTAATGTTACGAAGTTTTTAAATTCGTCTTAAGCATATTGTACAGTTACCAGCGTATATATACAAACATGTAATATACATAGTTTAGTTCTTAACAACAAATAAAATATAGTATTTGGTTAGGTAACATTTTCATGACAATATAAAATGTGAGATTAAATCGTTTAAAACAAATTTAATTACAAAGAAAAAATTTATAAAATCAATTTATGCTGAGCTATAATGATACCGTTTTGATAACATTTCTAACTATCTTTAGGTATATTGCTTTACAAATTACTTAATAGTTAAATGCTGACCAATATCAAAAAGCCCCAAATTTATAGAATCTATTTTAAATAAATTATAGAAAAACTAATTAAATTGCATCAAACTAATTCCTTATTATTAAATACATAGCTCTAAACGCTTTATTTTTTTAGTCTATGCTATTTTAATATGCTATTTTTTTTATTATCTATGCTATGCTATTTTAATTGAATGCTTACCACAATGAAATGTTGTACGCTTTCCAACAGCCAACCGTACATGTTTGAAGAATATACCTAACAATATTGTACGAAAATATTCCCGAAATAATCTTAGATGTACTTGTTATATTTGTTATAGGGTGGTAGCCTTCGAAGCGTATTACTCGCAAGGCTTTCGCGGTAGAACTAAGCTTATAAGGCTCAGCGTTAACTGTTTGATATTCTTTGTGCGCCCTCCGGGTTGATTTGAGCGCGGATTAGTTAATAGCGTGTTAAGTAATTAGCTGCTTTATTTATGTGACGTTATTGTTTTTATTTGTAGTAAATTTTTTTTTAAACTTGTTAGGAAATTGCTCACATGTTAAATAGCCACCGAAAAAACTGTTAAGTCCTATTTTTCTCCTTGATTATCATTTGTTCTTGTTTAATAAGTTATTTATCATTTTCACAAGTGCTATAAAATTTTTGGAAAACGTTTTTTTTTGTCCAAATTTCAATAAAAAAATCTGAGATATCTGTAGTACATAAATCGACCCTGAAGTGTACAACTGAGCGAAGAACTATTCGATGGGACGTGGCAATGTTTGAGTCATTGGATAGGCGAGTGTGAACGCTCGTGCGAAGTTGTTCCTGCAGATTTGCGGTGCTCTTCACACTTCTTGGGGCTTCTTTACTTCCCATTTCTGCTGATTACAATTAATCTCTGGTCCCAGTTTTCCGCCCTCTCCCTGTTCTGCGATTCTTGTTTTCTGTTCAAACTGCCCTATTTTTTTCCTACCTAAGCTGACATCCTTACAGGGCTATGCCAGCCTAACCTGACTAATAGGTGAGCTCTCACGGGGCTCTAACCTGGCGACGTTGCTATCACTAGCCCTAGCAAGAGCCGTGCTTCGCAGAATCTACCACCGAATCGGAAACGCGACCCACTGAGAAGATCCGGCGAGAAACTCAGTGGGCTCAATCTGCCCCTTGACAGCTCGGTGTACGAATTTTGATATCATTGACTTTGATACTTACAGAGGCTGCACTAAAAGTATCGGGAATGGAATATTTCCACTGTTCCTGTCATATTAAAATATTTTTAATTGAAAACTCCTTGGTTTTAAAAATCGAATACCATTTATTTATTTAAAAAAAGATTCTCGGTCTTGTCACGAGGTTTTGTCAAACTTGTTTAGTCGTTGAGAAAATGGAATTGACTCGAGAAAATTCAAGAGCGATGATTTATTATGACTTTCGAAGTGGTTTAACACAAAAACAGTGTGTTGACCGGATGATTTCTGCATTTGGTGATGAAGCCCCATCCAAAACCACAATTTATCGCTGGTTTGCTGAGTTTCAACGTGGACGTGTCAAGCTCAGTGATGATCCCCGTCAAGGTCGTCCAAAAACTGCAGTCACCCAAGAAAACGTTGATGCTGTGCGTAAGCTGATTGAGGAAGATCGACATGTGACATACCGCGAAATTCAGGCAACTTTAGACATTGGCATGAGTCAAATACAAATAATCTTGCATGAACAATTAGGTGTAAAAAAGTTGTTTTCCCGATGGATACCGCATTCGCTCTGTGAAGAGCAAAAAGCGGCTCGCGTTACTTGGTGCGTCAGAACTCCCGAAAGATTCCACGCAGGATCCTCAAATGCTGTATACAACATTGTATCAGGTGACGAATCCTGGATATAAGCGTACGAACCCGAAACAAAAAACCAGTCACGAGTTTGGGTGTTCGAAAATGAGTTAAAGCCAACAAGAATTGTTCGTTCACGGAGTGTTGCAAAAAAAATGGTGGCCACGTTTGTCTCCAAAACCGGCCATGTTACGACTATTCCTCTTGAGGGACAAAGAACGGTTAATTCAGAATGGTATGCTAGCATTTGTTCGCCACAGGTCGTTTCTGAACTCCGTAAAGAGAACTGCAACCGCCGCATCATCCTCCATCACGACAATGCGAGTTCTCACACCGCGCACAGAACAAAAGAGTTTTTAGAGCAAGAAAATATAGAATTATTAGACTTTCCGCCGTACAGCCCCGACCTAAGTCCTAATGATTTCTATACTTTCCCTAAAATAAAGAATAAATTGCGTGGACAGAGATTTTCATCACCTGAAGAAGCTGTGGACGCCTACAAAACGGCCATTTTGGAGACCCCAACTTCCGAATGGAATGGTTGCTTCAATGATTGGTTTCATCGTATGAAAAAATGTGTCAAATTTCGCGGAGAATACTTTGAAAAGCAATAAATACATTTTTAAATAGTAATGTTGTGTCACTTCGTTAATTCAGCAATTATTTAAGCGAAGCTTGTAGGAACGTCTTCATTCGCGAGAGACTGAACCTCATGTGAAATTTAATTGTGTTTTTAATTAGTTTCTATTACAAAGATGCATGAATGAACTCATCCACCCAGCACTCAGTAGTATCTGGAGTCCATAGACATCACAACGTGAATACAACAGCTTTGAGATATCATAGAAATAAGGCAGATAGTGTTTGGCATCTTCCCATCTAAGGTCGTCGACGACGAATAATAGTTTATATTGGTTTTATTCTATATAAAATAAAAAATAAAAACGATTACCTCTGCTTATACTTTTACGTGTTTGTTTGTCTCATAAATTAATATTGAAAAGTCAAGTCGCTCTGGTTGTAAATTATGATAAAAACAGATTTTAGTAACAGTATAATAGACATATGAATTAATGTATTTCATCCAAAAAAGAATTAGTTAGCTTTTCTAGCTTTTTTGTAGATTATTTCGAAATAAAAAGATGTGGCTTATGAACTAAAACAATCTAGGTAATTATTTAGATTTCTGAGTTTATTAGATAAACATCCATTAGATAAACATCTTCTCGGTCAAGAATTGGCTTAAACACTAAAATTATTTGGATGATTATTTAAAAATCTGCGTCTATTAGATAAACACCTTCTCAGTCATGAAGTGGTTTAAAAATTAAAAATATCTAGTTAATTATTTAGATTTCTGCCTCTATTAGATAAACGTTTATAAGATAAACAATCTTCTCAGTCTTTTGTTGCGGACCAGTCCGTATTGTAAACAGTTTTATGTTTACCTTTTGTTTATATTGTAATAGCTCTATTGGTTTTCCATTTGTTGCAGGCTCCAGGCGCTATTCCCCGAAAATACATTACGATAGAACGACTAAATCTCGGAATTGGTTAATAAAGTAATCTGGGACCGACAACTATTGTAATAGTCTAGAGGGGTTTATTATTTCTACACTGAATTTAATCATAATATTCTTTAAGAAGACATTTAGAAAAGTAAGTTAAATATTGGTATTAATTTACTGGTGGTAGGACCTCTTTTTGAGTCCGCGCGGGTGGGTACCACCACCCTGCCTATTTCTGCCGTGAAACAGTAATGCGTTTCGGTCTGAAGGGTGCGGCAGCCGTTGTAACTATACTTGAGACCTTAGAACTTATATCTGAAGGTGGGTGGCGCATTTACGTTGTGGATGTCTATGGACTCCAGTAACCACTTAACACCAGGTGGGCTGTGAGCTCGTCCAACCAGCTAAGCAATAAATAAAAAAAAGATGTCCGATATATTGAAGTATTTTACGATCAAAAAATTATTATTTGTTTATTTGAGAATTTTGGCTAAAACTACTTGATAGATTTTGATAAAAGCTCTCGTTTTTAGCATAATATTTCCCGCTACTGGAGCAGAGTGGATTAGTACTATCTGGAACCGCTCCTTTCAGCCGCAGTGTACCATACCATCTGGCTCTAGAATGAACTACCCTCCATGATGTTTTCCGAGCGCCATGTCATGTATTACATCAAAGGAGGCTTGCGGAGAGTACTCTGCGGTAGGTAAACTTAACAGTGCTCCTGGCATTGGTGACGCCCAAAAACATCGGTAGACGCTTACCAAGCCCACTGAGTTTCTCGCCCGATATTCTCAGTGGGTCGCGTTTCCGATCCGGTCGTAGATTCTGCGAGGCACGACTCTTGCAAGGGTTCGTGTTAGCAACAAAGTCAGGTTTGATCTCCGTGAGCTCATCTACTAGTCCGGCGACGCTGACATGGTCTCTAGACCATCAGCTTAGGTAAAAAAAAAAACAAACGACGAGTCGTAAATATGTACAATTAAATGTCTTTTTACGGTTTAATTTGGCGTTTTTTATTTCTCATTATATTATTTTCCTATTCCTGTCTATTTCACTTTACAGTTCTCGTGGTCACAGACGAATAAGCTGTTATCCGTCCATATTTGAATTGTGTTCTACGAGTAACTACCGCTAAGTATTTTAATATCAAAATTATTATACGCTAGGCGTGTTTGTATATTATTATTAAGTATGTATGTAACATTTCATTATTATTATTCAACTCTTACTCTCATAATGGAATGCATTTAACACAATCTCTACTCAATTCTTGTATAACTTACTTTTGTTTGTTTGGTGTACTTTTGTGCTTAAAGTTAAATGTTAAATAAATAAATAGTTAATTAAAATTAATTCTCGATTATTACGCTTAGTTTCACACAGAACGAACTGACAGTATCTTGAGTCTGCCAGTTTGTATCATTCTAGTTTTCATATTCACAAGAGGATTCCAGATGTTGTTGGATAAATGATACTGTAAGCGCTTATCCGGCCGCGACGGGGCAACACAAAGCCGCCGTCGCCCGAAGCATGTCTTATCGGATCTTCTCTTCTTGTTCTTCTTCTTATCAGCCCACAGATGTCCACTAATGGACATAGGCCTCCCCCAAGCCTCGCCACAAAGATCGGTCCTGCGCTGCTTGCATCCTGCGGATCCCCGCGAACCTCGATAGATCGTCGGTCCATCTTGCGGGAGGCCTACCCACGCTACATCTATGATCTTCTCAGTGGGTCGCAATTCCGATCCGGCGGTAGATTCTGCGAACCACCGCTCTTGCTAGGGCTAGTGTTAGCAAAATTCCTGAGGTTCAGCTTGTGAGCTCACTTACCAGTCCGCCTGTACCTGGAATAGCCTCTTAGGCTACCGGCGAATAGGTTGAGGAAAAAAACAATAAACGAAAGATCATCGTCGAATGTTCTAGAAATTTTCTATTCTCGTGTGACTGAAGTAAACATACCCGTACCCCGGCCATTACTCAAGCTGTCATTCCATTTAATGAAAT